GAAGATCCAGATTTAATTTTTTTTTTTTTTTTTTGTACTGGGATTAGAATTCAGGACCTTGTGCTTGCCAGGCAGGCACTTATGCCACTGAGCTATCTCCCTAGCCCCAGATTTAAAATTTCATGAAAGGCTTTTTTGCACAGTTCAATGTGAAAAGTAGCTAAACGAAACTCACTATTGATTATGCTGATTTGGAAACAGAAAGAATCCTATACACTGAACATGCACAGGCTGTTCCTACTTGTCTAGCTGTCCTTACTGTGACAGTTGTCACTAGACAAAACAGCATGCAGCTGATGGAGTACAGGCTGTGCTACACTAAGGTATGACACTCAGGCATGCAGTAAACAGAGCAGCAAGCTCTGACCTTTCCCTCATGCTCCTTCCTTGAAACTGTGCTTTGCAAAGGAGGCCACAGACCATTCCTCTAGAGGTGCTGTCCTATATCCAGAGGTAAGAAGATCCTTATCACCAACTTGAAGAGGAATCTGAACAGTGGAGTCTGGCTGAATTTCTGCAGTTATGACCATCTGACCACACCTCTCTGTCCAGTCTCCTCCACAACTGCCCATGCTCATCAGACATGGCATGAAATGCATGGGTCTCCCTGTGTCTCTGGGCCTTCACTTCTAATGACTCTCATGCCACCTAAAACTTAGCTCATGTTAATCAGTTGCTATAGCGCCTCAGTCACAAACCATGAGTGCATCATCTGAATCAGCATCTGGTAGATTTTGAGGACTGGAAGGTATGCTAACTACTTTAAAAAGGTCAATCTCTAAGTTAACATATCCTAAATAGCTTTAAAAAAAAAACAAAAACAAAACCCCCCTAATTTTATAAACATCGCCTTTAGTAGGTCCAGACCAGCTGTAATTCATCGATCCTAACAAACAAGATCTTCCTCATCTTCAGGTGAAACCTTAACTTACCTCCTCATCACTGCTGAAGAGTAAGGCAGAGGCTTTCTTTTTGGGTTGTTCCAAGGGCTTTGCCTTCTCCTGACTTTGCAGAGATGGCATTTGTTTCTTTCCAGCAGCCATGGCAAAAAGATTATCCTAGAAAGACAAATGGTAGAAAGCTATGATGGCTTCATACACATGAAAGAGAGGTCATGTCAAAGGGAGAAAAAAATCTCCTCAAGGGTTAGAATGTAACACCTTGTACATCAAGAAACAGTCCCCCTCTTCTAGCCTTTCCTAATTGCATTCTGGACTCATGGAAGTAAGTGGGTCACCAAAGACCTAAGTGCAGAGTAGGCAGCAAAGAGAAGGCAACAGAGGCGGTGCAGGCATGAGGAGGACCAAGGCCCAGGCAGTGTCCCATAGGCATGAGGGCAGGTGGCAGCCACTAAGTCACATTTCTCTTCTATGACTTAGAAGCTGAGCAAGGGCTAAAAAGACAAGTAAGGGGTTTTCTCCACCCTGTAACAGCTAAGACACATTCATGGGAGAGGGAAGGAATGACCTGGGTTCTAACTAACTTTAGAGACAGAATACAAAGTTAAAAAAGTTTACTACATAAAATGGTTGCTGTAGTAAGGGTTGATTCACATAGGCTCAATGGTATCATAAATTCACTCTAAAAGTATACTGAGATACTTATAATGGGAGCAAAGCCAGGAGAGGCCTGATCTTAATTCAGATAAACTCTACATGGTACATGATGGCAGATGGATGCCCTGCAGTGCACGATGGGTGAAGGGGCCTCACAGGACAGTGTGGTGAGGCGGGCACCATGATGAGCGAGTGGCCAGTGGGAAGACTCTTGGCACAAACTCCGTGCCAGATACTGCAGGGTTTTACATCAGGTGTCAGCTTTGGCTATCACAGTGGCATAATCACCTTCAGGAAATGGAGATTTACGAGATAAGGGTCCTGTGTGAAGTGACAGAAGCTTGGTCTGAGGCCACCAGCCATGTGCTCAGCCATTGCATCACGCTGCACAACAGTTGGGTTTGCTTTGGTTTTATTCTGACTTTTCTCCCCTACTAAGTTCTCCCTATCCAGAGTGGAAAAGAAAGGCCAGGTGAGGAGATGGCTGGTCTCCTGAAAATCATTGGCATATTTGAACATGTTATAAAAAGCTTCTCAAAGGCAGGGTCTAATGATGAACTCTATTAAGCTTCCCACAAGAACTTGGCCATGTGTCTGTAGCCTCCTAGACAACCATGTGAGTGGCTGCAGTGTGCATAGCCCTACTTCTGTTCCATCAGCCCCAGGCAACCTGTGGCTCCCTAGAGCCCCTCACTCTGTGAGCCTCTGGAGGGCTCTACTGTAGTCATCAGCCACCTTTTCTAGTTAATTAAAAGCTGATTATCTGATATTGAAATAAAGATGTTTACCTCTTCATCTTCATCATCAAAAAGGGAGACCGGTGTGGCGAGCTTGCTGGGAGGAAGAGATGCACTTTTGGACTTACTCGTGTTTTGAGATGAAAACAAATCCTGTTGGGTCAAGATTGAAAGTGCTGGTTAGCATTTCAGATCACTACAGGAACTGATGACAGAAACATTGGCTGCTATGAGGCTGAGACAGAGTCCAAGGGATCTGGCCTGGGAGCCTACTTAGGCGTGTGCCCCCCAAGCAGCTAATGGGAGAGAAGGAAGAGGGCTGAGGGACTTCAGGTGGTATCATTCAAGCCCAAGGTTTCCACAGGCAGGAGGACAAGTCCTTATCACTGTCCCAGATGCTGAGAAAATAAAAATGACTTTGTCTCTTTAAGAGCCTGAGATAATGACCCAAATCATGGAGACATCCTAGATTCACAAGTAATGGGTCTATGATTATTTACTAGTAACACTTCTCTCTCCTTAGGATTGTATTGCTTTTAAATGAATATAAATTTCTACTTCCAAATGTTTGCTATTGAACTTAAAGTATAGGTATGAGATGATGCATATCAAGGACAGAGCTGCTGTGTTCTGCACAGTCTTCACAGTGTTTCAAAATGTCACCTCGGACTGAAGAGAGAGCTCTGTTAACAAAGCTGCATGAATTCAAACAGAAGACTGGACAACTGCTCGCTTAGGCAGAGAAACTTCAAAAAGCCAAATAGGACATGAATATACTTTCTAATGACCACTTTGAATAATTTTCTTTAACTATTAAACAAGTGCTTCCTCCTGCAGTGCAGATCTAAGGCATTCACAGTGGCCTCACAGGCCTGCCATCCCTACCTTCACAGGTGAGTTCAGGCAAAGAGGCTACACCTGGAGCTCTGGAAGGTTCTAGGATTTTATACCTCCTACGTTTTACACAGTGCCAGAAAAAAACAAACAAAAAACAACAACAACAAAAAAACCCCTCCAAAAACAAGAGCTCTGTTTTTAAGAAAATGAAAGCAATCCAAAAAAAGAGTAAAAATAAACTTCTATATCATAATTTTGGACCCTTCTTGGTGCTGGGCAAAAAGACATTTCCATTACTTCCAACTTGCCCCCCACCATGACTGCCCAGGAAAACAGCTGCTAGCTTGACACAGGGGCAAGGAACTGGCCCTCTATCCCAGAGCTTCATCTGCTATTTGCCTGGCTTTACGTCTCCATGCTCAAGACTACCAACCACACGCAGTAAAATGAAGCAGAAATCCTGACCTAACTGCAGCCATTTTGTTCAATAAAATTGCATTCATTGTGCTCTCTGCAACTGAACTTAGCTAGATTATATGATGTCCTCAAATTGAAACTTCTGTGAATGTACTAGAAACATTAACATACAACTGTGTTGCTATATACAACTATGCTCACCATAAGTTACCTACTGTATCATAACCTTCAACAAAAGCTTATCTCAGGGGCCAGTGAGATAGCTCAGTGGACTAAAGGCCCTGCTTAGACAAGCTTAGGTGGACCACACTTTGATCCCTGGCACTACATGCCATGCCAGCCCCACCCCCCAGGGTGGGCTGAGCCAGCCAGAGTCCAGGCATAGTGGCGCATTTCTATAATCCCAGAAGTGGAGAGGCTGGACAATCACCACTAGTCTGAGCTGCACAGTGAGACCCTGCAACAACCAAATACGTTTTTTTAAAAAAGCTTATCTCATTCTCCTAACTTCTGTTTGCCACCTTATATGTAAAACAAGCTCTCTGTAATCAAGGTCCCAGACTTTGGAGATTATTCCTCTAGGGTCCACTAGGGTCAATAAACTTTCCTTTCTTCTTCTAAGCTCCCGGCTACTGTTGATTCAATTTTTCCTATGACAAAATCACTTACTCTGTGTAGATGAGCAGGGGTCAAAGCCTTGCTGTGGTTTTAAACTGAATCTCCAGGGCTGGAGAGATGGCTCAGTGGTCTAAAGCACCTACTTGGAACTAGCTTGGCAAAGCATCAGGGACCGTGGTTCAATCCCCCAGCACCACATGCCAGCCAGCCCCGCCCCCTGGTGGGCTGAGCTGGCCACACACACACACACCTCTCTCTCTCTCTCTCTCTCTCTCTCTCTCTCTCTCTCTCTCTCTCTCTCTCTCTCTCAAATAAATAAAAAAAAATTAAAAAAAAAATAAACTGAATCTCCAATCCATTTACACTCCTACCACCAAGTGCAATCTGCATTTTTGCTTCCATCCAGGCTGGGCCTTGTATGGCTATCTCAACCAACCAAGGGACAAGGCATCCAGGAGGAAAAGACAGGCTTCCAAAGTTGGGCTATGAAAGGCTGCACAGCTTCCAAGCCCTCTCTGAAGAATCCCACTTGTGGCCTGACTCTTGTCCAGACCCACGTCCCTGAGCTGTGTCCCTGGGAGACAGCACTGGGTACTCAGCAGCAGCCCTGCTGCTCATGTCTCTTCTGCAGAAGGATTCTCAGCCCAGCCCCATACAGACACAAGAGGCCCCTGGTGACAAGTACAACTACAGGAGACAGTGAATCAACTGGTGTTGTAAAGCACTGCATTCTGGGGGGTGGTATGCTAACAGCAATAAATAAGCAGAACCCCAGGAAAATCAATGAAACTTCTCTCATCTGGTTTTTCTCACTCTTGACTATCACTGGGTAACTGAGCAAGACCAAGTGCTGATATTAGAGGTAGGATGTTTGGAATACAGTTGGGGACAAATCCTTCCCGTCCTGGGGAGGCTTGCCAAGCTGGGGGAGGAACAGTAGTCGCCAAGCAACAGTACCCAGACAAAGCAGAGTGGATAGGTGCATTGGGGCCTGTGCTGCAGCTGGGTGTGGCAGGCTGGTGTGGTGACTCTTCTTAGACCAGAGAGTAGGGAAATGAATCACCTCAGAAGAGCACTCAAGAGAGGCAGGGGCCAGGCACCAGCCAGGTATGAGGGGCAGGTGTGCTGGAAGGCAGGCTAGTACATGTGGACCCAGAGAGAAACTGCATGGGGCTCCCCTGCTTACTGGAGGGTCAGGAGCTGGCCTGAACTACACTTGGCTACTTCTCTCTATCCACAAGCCCTCAAGGAAATACAAGCCTGAGGGGGATTACTTCTATCACTCCACATCCACGTACCCTGGCTGGGAGTGCAAAGCCTACCCATGAGAGCAGAGCGTGGAGTCCAGGTGTCTTCAAATTACATGTACATTGTTTCAAAAAGTTATTATTTTGCTGATATAGGGTCTCAGTACGCAGTTCAGACTTGTAGTGATCCTCCTGTCTCAGCCTCCCCAGCACTGAGATTACAAGTGTGCGCCACCATGCTTGGTTCTGAAGCCAGCATGGCATGTGGCACTGGAGATCAAATCTGTGGTCTTTGAACTTGCGAGGCATGTGCTTAGACCCTCGAGCTATCATATCACCCCAGCCCTACACATACATTTTGATGCTTACTGTGTCTTACCTTCCAAAGGGTTGGCCTAAGGCTAGAACCTAAAGGACCAGGCCTGACACAGTCAGAGAAAGACACAGCCTAGAGGGAAAAGAGGCCATCCACAACCTGTGCCTGGTCACAAGGCAGAAACCACTTCAATCCCATATCTGCCATTTAGTCAGTGAGATCGTCAAAGATGGAAGCAACAGGCTGCTGTCCACTCTGGCATTCAGTGTCAGACCAATTATTGTGTGAACCAATAAGAGCCTAAATCCTGGGCATCCTAGAGGCAGAGTATTCTTGCATGCAGCGTAATAGAGTCAAATCCGAAATAGAGTTATAACCATATGACTTTCTGAAGCCCAAGTACTTTCTGGAAATTATTTTAAAGACTACAACAAAAAACTGAACATACTCATTAAAAAGTCTTATGTCTCTACCGGGGAAATAAACTGATCCAGAAATAATAGTCCTTGTGTTGGATTGTTTTGCTGAATTCAAACACCTATAATATTTAGATGCCAATAGAATACCCATCCCTGACAGGACTGAACTGGAGAGGGGGGATACAGAGGAAGTATTTTGTATTTGTATATACAGAATACTTAGAATAGATGTATGACTGCTTTCGCTTGGTTCAGTGAGAGGAAGGATTTGTAGTAGTAGTATTTGGACAGGATGTCCTGGCTGCTTCTTGTGCTGTGGATGACCGCTGAGAAGATAACAATGTGCAATGTATTAATTATTGAAAATGTCCTATGAATCAGCTTGGAAAGTGTCTCATTGATATTTCTCAATAAAATAAAATAAAAACAGAAATAATAGTCCTTAGCGACACAGGCGTAGATAAATATTTAGGACAAAGAAAAAGAATTTCATACCTCAGAATCCTCCTCATCCGAAAATAAACTTTTGTGAGTTTTTGTTTCTGGTGAGAGCTTGAGATTTTTGCTGGAAGGTAGGGTTACCTTATTGAGGGAAAAGAAGAAAAATAGAAGATTAGTACATATGATACCTGGAAGTAAGGCTTATTGAGTCTTTGCTATGAGAAGGTGCCAAGGTCTACCTCCAGGAATAAAGATGTCCGTGGATGCCCACATGGACCTTGGTGCGTGTGAGTTTCATACAAAGAATGAGCATAAGGGGTGAACTATCATGGGAAGAATTTACAACTGGTCTATGTTAGGCAAGTGGGAAGGAAGTTCCTCTGATAGACAAGGCCTGGGCCCAGGGAGAAGGGCCTTCTGGGACGAGGTAACTGCAGCAAGGGAAAAGCAAGATGGCGCAGAGGGCATGCCTGGTTAAGAAGGGCACAAGACAGACTGCTCACTGTCACACAACGTATACATGGGATATGTGTGGTCAAACCACAGAGACGTCTGCACAGGCTTCCTGGAACTTTCAGGTGCTGGGATGGTGATTATGGCACAAGTTGGGTTTCTGGCAAGGATGTGACACAATGGGTCTCGGGTGAAAAAGAACAGAAAGGAACCAGCGCTGACAGGGGAAAGAACAGCAGCTGGATAGCGTAAGACCAACAGTGACACAGGGGACTCGAGAAACACAGATCAATGTGACCATCCAAAAAATAAAAATGAAAAAGTACACTGGATAAAGAATCACCTTTCAGGTAGGATTCATCCCAGGGATGCAAGGTTGGTTCAATATTCGAAAATCTATCAATGTAATACACTATGTCAATAGAGCGAAAATTAAAAACCACAT